AATTTAAAATTTTTAGAGGAGCAGAGGATTTAGCTCCATGGTGGAATGTGCCTGGATTCAATCCTCACTACCTCTAAAGAAAAAGGGGGAAAAAATGATTCTTTCTGCCTCAAAATGGCAGCAGAGCTGTGCATTTCCTGTTTGTCTGTCAGAACTTTTCTTTTTTTTTTTTTTTTGCTTCACCATTTCTTTGTATTTTTATTGAGTTTTTTTTTTTAATTTCTGCCCAAATACCACAGTGAACTGAGAAACCACAAACCACAATTACAATTCACAGACTGTGGCATGAAAAACATCACACACTCCATCAGGAATCACATCAAACCCTTTCCTCTTTATTCATTCAAAAGAGAGTCCAATGCACAAGTGTCAAATATGAGCACTGTCATTTTTTTTTCTTTTCTTAGAAGGGGAAAAACATTTATTCTGGCAGCACTTTTACAATTCCAGGAAGTGGCTCACCAGTGTCAACAGAAGAGTGAGTCAGCTGGTGTTACTCTTCCACTTTGTTTAGAAAGCACTGACTCTGGGAATGCCACAGTGGTCTCCACATGTTCAAAAGAAAGAATGAACAAGTGTGCTGCATTTCACGACCTCACAAATCAATTTTTATAAAATATTTTGTGCCCCAGGAGTTAACTTCACTGACTCCAGAAGCCCTGGTTATGATTTCCTTATCATCTTAAAATCAGGAGTGGGATCAGATTGTTTTTACATTTTTTTTAAATACTTGAATATATGACACTTCAAGTTGGAGATTTCATTTTCCTTTTAGAACAGAATCATGAGACTAATCTGGTTAATCCTTTTGTCACAGTTCTCCTGTGTGTGTGTGTGTGTGTGTGTGTGTGTGTGTGTGTGTAAAACTGAATGGTAACATTTAATTGCTTTATGGACCATTGAATTGTTGGGCAATAGGTTTTTTTTTTTTAATTGGCATGTGACAGTACTTACACTGTCCAATCAACCGACTTGACCAGTCCTTTGAAAGAGACTCCCAAGCATATGACTTTGGGCCAACTCCCCTTAGGGCCATATAAATGGAAATCATGCCCCTTCGGGTGACATACTCTGAAAAAGTGTTTGCTATTTTCACGAACATAAATGCCCATGTTCTTAATATCTGCTCTTTTTTGACCAGTCATGTTTTGTGCTGTCATCTGAACCCTAGAGAAGCAGTGTAAGAGGAAACCTTGCTGCCACGTGTGTTTTGGCCAAAAGGTCCACATGATAAGAGGGTCATGTGACCACAAGAAGCTCCAGAAAAAGCAAAGCATGAGAACTTGCTTCAGCCTAGAACTTTTCATAAAGAGAAGTTGCTCTTTACTTGTGGTTTCAGAGTTTTTCCGGAAGGTTTAGGCTCCAAGGGCACAGAATCTACCCAGAACTCTCCTTGATGGCGGTCTAGCTGACTTCCACCACGTTGATTTTAGATGGAAGTTTACCGGGTGACGGAAATTCTTTGGTCTTTTCAGAGTCCAAAGGTGGAAAGAGGATGAAACTGGAGGCCCCAACTTTATCCTTTGATTTGGGTTCACCTTCTCTGGATCTCAGCCAGGGCAGCACAGGGAGTGAGGCTGGGAGGGCGGAAGCCAGGCTGTGGGAGTCCCTGGGCCTTCGCAATCCCAGGAACTGGGACCCAGGCGAGAGCAGCAGAGGGGAAGTAGGGCGAGGGTCACGGGGGCTTAGGGGCCTTGGGCTTTAAAGGCCAGGCACCAGGAGGCCGGTCTCCAGGGCTCCTGAGCTCAGACCCATGGCAGGTGTGGTCAACCCCGTGCTCATTCCTGGCTCTGCTCCTGCCTTCAGTCCCCAGGCTTCCCCTGCGGGTTCCGCCCCATTGGTCTGTGTCCTAGTGGGTGGTTCTGCACCTTGCTCCAGCGGTGGGAGCCTAGGGACCCAGGTAGCCCAGGGAGAGGAAAGAGAGGGAAAAGTTAGGGCAGGGGCTGGGATTATAGCTCAGGGGTAGAGAGATTGCCTCACACTGGGTGGAGCCTCAGCAGCACATTAAACTCAATAAAGATATTGTGTCCATCTTTTAAAAATAAAATTAAATTAAACTAAGGGCAGGAGGATGCGAGGAAGCAAGAAGGCTTGGTAAGGTCCCCAGTGCCACTTTGGTTTTCAGAAGTGGGGGAAGAGCCTCTCTCTCTCTCTCTCCAGAGACCCAAGAGCATGACAGAAAATGCTTTAAGTTTTCCCGACGCGGTGGCATTTAATTCTGCACTCCAGGGGCGGTGTTGGGCCTTTCCAGGGAGGAATTGCCATGAACTCCACGTGGCCCCTTTGCCCAGCACAGATGTCTCTATCAAAGGCCCTTCTGAGTCATAGCAGCAGGTCCAGTTGCTTCCAAGTTCATGTGATATCTACCTTTTAGAATTTTCTATTCAAGGAAAAGAAAGGCGGGGTGTCTCATGAAAAATCAAAGGGAGATCAGTAGAGTAGAGGAAAAAGACACACCAGGGGGAGGGACAAGAGGAGAGAAAGGAAATACAGGGGAATTATATTGGCCAAATTCTGTTGCTATATTGTGCTTGAATGACTATGTAACAACAAATATCAACATTACCACAACTATAATGCATCAAGAATAAGAGGGAATTAAATTAAAATTTAAAATATCAAAACGAAATTTCTTACATTTGAAATATCCCTTTTTCAATTACTAGGAAATTGTTGACTAAATTTTGGCAAATCCTTCTACTAGAAAACTACTCAATTGTTACAAAGAAAGTATTCTGAAATGCATCTGTATTTTTGAAAAATAAAAAGTTAAATGCAAAAAAAAGAATTTTTTAAAGAATATTTTTGGGGTTTTTAAAAATTAGTGCATTGTAATCATCCACAATAGGATGCAGTGATAGGGCTGCACTCATCAGACCTTGGGTTAAAGGAAGACCTTAGAAGATGAGCAGGCAGAATTAATATTGTCAAAATGACCATTTTGTCAAAAATGATTTACAGATTAGATGTGATCACCAGTAAAATGAGAATGACAACCTTCACAAAACTACCAGGGGGGAAAAGTCATTAAATTCATCTGGAAGAATAAAAGAACCAGAGTAGCCAAAGCAATCATGAGTAAGAACAGCGATGCAGGAGGCATGTGACCTTATCTCAAATTATACTACAGAGGTATAGGGGGGAGGGAATTTGAAGATCAATAGAATAGAATAGAAACCACAAAGACAAACCCACTTAGATTCAGTTACCTAATCTTTGACAAAGGTGCAAGAAAGATATGTTGGAGAACAGACAGACTTTTTATTGGTGCTGGGAAAACTGGATATCCATATGTAGGAAATGAAACTAGCCTGTCTGTCAACCTGCACAAAAGACATATCAAAATGGTTGAAAGTCTAAGGATTTAGATCAGAACCCTTGAAACTGCTAGAAGAAAGCATAGGGTCAACACTCAGAGCATATAGATACAGGAACCAACATCCTTCACAAGATGCCCAAACCAAGATTAAATAAGTGGGATGACATCCAAATAAAAAGCTTCTACACAGCAAGGGAAATAACTAAGAACATGAAGAGAGAGCATACATTAAGGGGGAAAAATCTGTCAGCTTTCCTCTGACAAGGGATTAATATCCAGAATACATAAAGAACTCAAAAAATTTCTCACCAAAAGGGCGAAAAAAAAAAACCACCCAAATAACACAGTCAGCAAGTGGACAAAAGAACTAACCAAACATTTTTCAAGAGAAGAAACACAGATGGCCAAGAAACATATGAAAACATGTTTACATCCTTAGCAATTACCGAAGTGCAAATCAAAACTATACTGAGATTTCATCTCAACCCAATTAGAATGACAATCATGAAAACTACAAAAATTGTTGAAGAGGATGAGGGGGAAAGGAACAATCAAGCATTGTTCATGGGGATGCAAATTGCTATAACCACTTTTGAAAGCAGTATGGAGATTTCTCAGAAGACTTGGAATCAAACCACCATATGATCCAGCTATTACACTCCTTGGTATTTATACAAAAGAACTAAAATCAGGATACTATAATGATGTGTGCATACTAATGTTTATAGCAGCACAATGCATAATAGTTGAGTTATGGAACCACCTAGGGGCTCATCGACATTGAATGGATAAAGAAAATGTGCTAAACTTACACAGTGAGGTTTAATTCAATCACAAAGAGGAATAGAATTATATCATTTGCTGGTAAATAAATGGATGGACTGGAGAACACCATGCTAAGTGAAATAAGACAGACTCTGAAAGCCAAAGGTTGAATGTTTTCCCTCTCATAGTTAGAGAGGGAAAAAAGAAAAAGAATTTAAAGATAAAGGGGGGGGGGGAATCTCATGAAAATAGAGGGAAAGGGCAAACAATGGAGTAAAGGAAAGGGCTGGAGAGAAAGGAATGAAGGGAGGGGATAGGGAAGTACTGGGTTACAAAATCTACCAGATTGTGCTATGTGCATGGATGATATGGCACACATCCCATTCTTATATGTAAGTATAATGAAGCACTGCAAATATTTTACATGAGGATGTGCAGGGCGGGAGGGAGCAAAGGGTACCCTATTGATAGGAATGAGTAGTGGCAGATCAGGAGCCACTCATCAAGAAGCCAGTGGTACAGAACCCCTGGATTCAATCCCTAGTGCCTCAAAACAGAAAGAAAGATCTTTTCTGCAAGCCTCAAGGGCAGAGTAGAGAAAGCATTTCCTGTCTGAATGTCGCAACTCCTAAAAGAGAAGTTGCTTTTGCTTTTGCTTTCAGAGAGTTTTTCCTGAAGGTTTTGGGATCAAGGGGCTCAGAGTCTACTGAAAACTATCTCTGATGGTAAGCTACCTAACAACTGCCTTCAACAATGTTGATTTCAGACCGGACTCTAGGGAGGTAACAAAATTCTTTGGTCTTTTAGAATAAAAGGGATGAATCCGGGGGCTGGAATTCAAGGAGCTAAACACCCAGGCCCAAGAAGTCCCTAGAGGAGGCAGGAAAAAGGATAAGGCCTCAGGCCCCAACGTTACCCTTTGCTTTAGGTCCACCTTCTCCGGGTAGTAGCCAGGGCCGCGCGAGAGTGAGATGAGGAGATCAGAAGCCCTTGGCTGGGAGGCAACAGGAGTCCCTGGGCGCGCGCGCTCCGCACCATCACAGAAACCGAAATGAGGGCCAATTCCTACCCCCGCAGCGATCCGGATGACGCTGATGACACCCAGGGCCAAGCAGCTTCGGAAACACCCAGGGGCGGAGCTGCGATCAGAAGCAGGGGACAGGGAGGGGAGTGATACAGGGGGCGGGTCCTCAGGCTTCAAAGGCTCTTACCCTGGAGGAGGTCTCCCTATGATCTCCAGCACAGTGACCATGGCCAATGCAAGCCTTCTTACTCTCATTCTTAGCATCCATTCTAACCTTACTTTCTTTGAGCGGTGCCGGCTGTAGAATTGGAAGATGGAACTTATGGGGACACCTTCGTCCCCTCCACACTCCCCAGACTTCCCCTGCGGGTTAGGTGCCTCCAGTTCTTGTCCCCGCAGCAGGTTCTCCACCCCAGGTCTGCCCTGGGAGCCACGGGACCCAAGTAGCCCAGGGAACAGAAAAGAAAGGAAAAAGTTAGGGCAGGAGGATGGGAGGGGGCGAGATGGCAGGAGAGATTCCGATGGCTTGTTGGAAATCCCCAGTGCCACCTCCATACAGGAAGTGGGACGCCTGCAGGGTCCAGCCACAGAGGGGATCCGAACGAAGATTCTGTAAGGACATGGTGACCAGGCAGGGGAATACGAGGGGGCGAAACTATGGCCAGATGCCAGAGGCAGGGTGCCACCGGCGGGGGTGGGGGCGGGTGTCGGGTTGAAGGCTCTGATCGCTGCCCAGGTACAGCAGCGCTCTGGAGCTCCTTAAGGATGGCAGGTGCAGAACCCGCTATTCTCATTCATATCATCCAGGCTCTGATCCCGCCTTAATTTCTTTGGTCTGTGCGGGCCGGTGAGTTGAAGGATCCAACATATGGGGACACCTCCATCCTCTCCTCACTCCCCAGACTTTCCCTGAGGGCTTTGTCCCTCTGGTTCACAGCAGGTTCTCCACTCTGAGCCTGCGGTTGGAGCCTCCGGGCCAAGGTAGCCCAGGGAGCGGAAAAGAGAGGAAAAAGTTAGGGCCGGCAGATGGGAGGGAGCGAGATAGCTTGGTATAGGTCCCCAGTGTCACCAAGGAAGCGGAACGTGCACCAGATACATCCACAGCAGCGATTCTGAAACATTACTGTGTCCTGGGCCGCTGGAGGGAGCCGGGGAGGCGAAGAAGGGTAGGCGGAGGTTAGTACGCCCCAAAGCAGGAGGCGGGCATTGCTGGGGGGCGGGCCCCGGGACTTTAAAAGCTCTCGCGGCGGCCAAGGTCCCACAGCGATCAAGAGCTCCTTAACCATGGCAGGTGTAGTCTGCGCTACTCTGATTCTTATCATCCAGGCTCTACTCCAGCCTGACTTTCTTTGGGCAGTGCCAGACGGTGAGTTGCGGGATCGAACTTGTGGGGACACCGCCGTCCCCATTTTCTTCCCCAGGCTTCTCCTGCGGGCTCTGGGTCCCACTTCATCGCAGCAGGTTCTAGATCTTGCAGCTGCGGTGGGAGCGGCGGGCCCGAGGTAGCCCAGGGAGCGGAAAAGAGACAAAAACGTAAGGGCAGGAGGATGCGAGGGAGCGAGATGGCAGAAGAGAGCGAGATGGCTTAGTTAGGTCCCCAGTGCCACCATCGCAATCTGAAGGATGTTCAGATGATTCCGCTGGGACATCGGGCCCCGGGCAGCAGGAGGGCGTGCGTTTGGAGGGCGGGGGAGGGAGGATGGTGACAAATAGGTGGAGCTACAGCCAAACGCGGGAATTTGGCGCTGCTGGGGGCGGGGCCTCGGATTTAAAAGGCTCAGACAGCTGCCAGGGCCCTGCCCTGCTCCTGGGCTTCTTAAGGATGGTAGGTGTAGTCTCAACTACTCTCATTCTTAGCGTTCAGGCTCTGCTCCCGCCTTACTTTCTTTGGAGGGCGCCAGCGGGTGAGTTGAGGAGTAGAACTTACAGGGACCCCTTTGTCCCCTTCTCAGTCCCCAGACCTCCCCTGCAGGCTCTGCCCCTCAGGTGCCTGTCCTGCTCCAGGGGCTTGTCCCTGTACCTGCGGAGGGAGCCACAGACCAAGTTAGACCAGGGAGCCAAAGAGAGAGGAAAGGGTAAAGACAGGAGAATGGGAGGGAGCGAGATGGCAGTAGAGAGCAAGAAGGCTTGGTGCAGGTCCCAGATGCCACTTCTGTCTTCACTCCTTGGAGGGGGAGGGGGGCTAGAGCATCTCTAGAGGCCCAGGAGCACAAAAGAGCCACTGTGAAAGGGTGTGCGTTTTCCCGCTGCGGGTGGCATTCACTTCTGGACTCCAGGAGAGGTGTTGTGCATTTCCAGGGAGGAATTGCCCTGAACTCCTGGAGGCCCCTTTGCCCAGCACAGAAGTCTCTATCACAAGTCGTCCTGAGTCATAGTGGCAGGCCCAGTCCCTTCCAAGTTCATGGGATATCTACTTTTTAGAATTTTCTTTTCAAGGGAAAGAAAGGTGGGGGGAGGTATCTCATGAAAATCAAAGGGAGATCAGTGGGAGTAGGTCCCCAGTGCCATCTCCATGCAGGAAGTGGAGATTGCGCCACCACAGTGATCTGAACAATAATTCAGCTGGAACACCAGAGCCCAGGCACCAGGAGGGCTTGCCCTGTGGAGGGCGGGGGAGGGAGGATGGTGACAAATAGAGGGAGCTACAGCCAGACGCGGGAATTGGGTGCTGCTGGGGGCGGGGCCTCGGACTTGGGCTCTGACAGCTGCCAAGATCCTGCACTGCTCCTGGGATGAAGAAGAGGAGAGAAAGTGGAAATACACGGGAATTATATTGGCCAAATTCTGTTGCTATATTGTGTGTTTACAAATATGTAACAACAAATGCAACCATTATGTACAACTATAATGCACCAATAAAAATAGGGAATTAAATTAAAATGATAAATATCACAAAAGGATTTCTTACATTTGAAATATTCCTATTCCAATCAGTAAGAAAACAATTAACTAAAGGATGGCAAATTCTTCTACTAGAGAATTATTCATTTGTCATAAAGTACATCTGAGATGCATTTGTATTTTTGACAAATAACAAGAGTAATGTGAAAAAATAGAATTTTCTTTAAATTGTTTGTGTGTGTGTGTGTGTGTGTGTGTGTGTGTGTGTGTGTTGCTGGGGATTGAACCCAGGGCCTTGTACATACGAAGCAAGCATGCTACTAAGTAAGCTGTATCCCAAGCCCATATTTTTTTTATTAGTGCATTGTAATTATACATAATAGGAACAGGGATGTAGCTCAGTGGTAGGCTGCATACACCAGACCCAGGGTTGATGGAAGACCTTAGAAGATGAATAGGCAGAACTAATATTGTCAAAATGGCCGATTTTGCAAAAGGGATCTACACTTGATGAAATCCCCCATTGAAATACGAATGACAGCCTTCATAAAACTGGGTTGGGGACAGACATAAACTTCATGTGGAAGGGTAAAAGAACCAGAATAGATAAAGCAATCCTGAGTAGGATCCCTTTCCTCCTTTCCTCCCTTCCTCCCAACCCTTCATCCTATTTCTCTACCCTTTTGGTCTCCTTTCTATTTTCATGATATTTGTTGTTGTTGTTGTTGTTGTTGTTTCCTTTTTTCTCTTTGGTCTCTACATATGAGAGAAAATGTATGAACCCTAGCTTTCTGAGTCTGGTTTATTTCACTTAACATGGTCCTCTTCAGTTCCATCCATTTTTCTCAAACAATATGATTTTGTTCTTCCTTAGGGCAGAATAAAAGTCCATGGTGTATATATACATTTACTTTACCCATTTGTCTGTTGACAGAAAATTAGGCTGGGTCACTGATTTGGCTATGGTCAATTGTGCTGCTATAAACATAGATATTCCTTTATCTCTATTGTATACTCAATTAATTCTTTTGGATAAATACCAACAAATGGGATAACTGGATCATATGGTAGTTTCATTCCTAATTTCCCAAGTACATGAAATATATGACTTCCAAATAACCCAGCCGATAAATGGGCAAATGAAATAAATATGTTTCTCAAAAAAAAAAAAAAAGAACAGATGAGCAGGAAATATATGAAAAACAACACAATGATTTTATCTCCAACTAGAATGGCAAGCATCAAGTACAAAATCACAATTAAAGCCAGTGAGGATGTACAGGGGCAGGAGAGGGGAAAAGAAAACATATACAAGATTGGTAGGAATGTATGTTAGTATGGCTGCTTTTGAGCTACAAGAGCAGAGTTGAGTGGTTGTAACAAGGACTGCAAAGCCTAAAATATGTAATAGTAAGCCCTTTACAGAAAATTCCAGGGTCTGGGCTGGAAATAACATTGGAAAGGATAAAGTTGAACTACATGTGTCTTTCAAGGTTTTAGATTGGTACAAATCTCCATGAGTTCTCTAGGATGAGATATTATTTAAATATAGTATCTTGGAAATGGGGGAGACAGTGTCAGAAGATTCCTTGGCCTTCCCTACTAGGGTAGCTCTAACTCCACATGTGACTCACCAAGCCCATGATTGTTCATTTCTATTACAAATTCAGGGAATTTGAAATGACCCCTATGAGTAGGACCTGGGACAGATCCATTCTTTCCTGGCCCCACATGCACCTTTGTCAGTACCATGGGGCCATGGTGATGCTTCAGATGCCTGGACATGAGGTCAGCTCACACTGTCTCCAGATGAATGAATGCTTTCTCTCTCTCTCTCTCTCTCTCTCTCTCTCTCTCTCTCTCTCTCTCCCCCCAGTCCCATGTGAATGGGCATATGGCTTTGTGGGGCAGGCTGAAAAGGGACACTGAACTGGCTCTGGGGTTGAATGGTCCCTCCTGATAGGAGCCAGGTCTCTCCTCCTAGGAATGATTTCAGGCTCTGAGACATGGCCCAGGTCTGGAAACTGAGCCAATAACCAGACTTTGGGTGGATATCAACACTCAGCCGCCTGATTATCCATCCTTGGGTTTCCTTCACCTCTTGAAATCAGGCAGAATCTGAGTTGCCTGCCCAGGTACTTTGCCATGAGGTTCCCTGTGATCTCTCAACCCCGGGTTTAGCTCCCTGAGTGTCAGGTCCCTGGCTGACTTCCTCCATTTTCACTGTCTGCACCA